GCGGCCATATTTAATTTTGTTGACATGTCTTACGTAATGAATACCGCACTTATTGCTCATGGAAATTGATTGGGTGTTGTTTTGTTGGGTTTTTTGCGTGCGTGTTAACAAACATTAGATCTAAAAAATTGTTTGTTGTTTTATTCCTAAACGAATTAGATAACGTTTAATGAATTTTTTTCCTGAGGTAGCATTCAAATTTGCACAAAAATCCGTGAAAATCCACACTCCAGACACCACCAACAAAAATCTTCTATTCCTTATATCAAAAATATTCAAAATAAATGTTTAGTTTTACATTTTTTCTTCATTCAGTGAAAATTTTGTGAAGATTAGATGAAAAATGGTGAAGTTATTTTAAAAAGTATAGAGGGAAGTCGCGTTTTGAAAAAATGGCCGATAAAGAAAAATAAAGTATTGACTTTATGAGGAAATGGTGGTGCCAAACATGCCCGGTATGGGAAAAAATACAGTTTTGGGGGATTCTTATGCGATGTACCGTCGTCCTTTCAGGTAGTAGAGGCTGGGGAAGCTAAAAATGCCTACAACTCAAATTCCATCATTTTGAGCCGAATCTTGACTTTGGGGGTGTAGCCCCCTTAAACTCTTTTATCTCTAGTTATGACTGAGAATCAACGTCTCTGTATTGGACCAGGCCCAAGTTTAGAAACACCACATTATTACATTTAAGTACTTCAATGTGAAACCAGGGAAGGAATTCAGTCAAAATAATGACAGAGAGTGCCCTGGGCACAGTTGCCCACATCAAATGACGTCACATTAAATATTTATAGTTATTCTTTGTAAAAGCGAACATTGGTAATGTAATGACATAGAAGTGTCACCGGAGTTTGGATTCTGTTCATTGTGTGTATGTGAGTGAGTTTTTAATCTTTGCAATTAAATGGGTGGGGAGTAAGGGTGTTATCTCAGTTGGTACCGTCCTGAGCTACGATGCAAATGATCCTGTTTCGAATTCCCAAGGGGGTCATTCTAAAAAGTTGCCTGTTTTTTTGTCAATGTTCAAGGTTCTGCGCCATGTTGGTTCAGTTCAGTCAGAGATGGACATTAAAGTTGGACTACCGCCAAAAAATAGCTTTAGCCTTACATGGTTATAATGAGCGTTTAACCCACACCAAAAGGAAGCGGTTCGATATCGCATAGAGGAATCAAGTGAGAAAAGTACTCAGGCTAAAAGTAATTTTTCATGTGGAATAAAGCAAACTATCGGTAGGAGTAATCTTTTGATGTCTGATATATTTTATTGAAGTCTTGACTTGATCCGTGCCATCAGCTGTATGTAGTGTTCAACATTGTCAGGGCTTTTCCACGGTCACCGACGGGACATTTAGGGCTATACTTTCCTACAATGATAACACTATTATTCAATATCAATTAACTTATTTCAACTTGAAATGATCAGAACATTTTTTTAAAAAGGTAAGAATCATATTAAATGCAGTCATTTGAAAAAAAAAGTACTTTATGCAAATTTTGTGACACGTGTAGTTTCCGTAACTGACGGAACAGAAAAATACCTCAAAATTAATTGTCCCGTCAGTTACAGAAACTAAACCCGTCACAATTAAAAATTGCAGAGGCTGAGGCGGGTGGTTGGAGAGCATCACTGATATGTCTTCCTTCTTTACCTTTCCTCGGTTGTTTCTCTTTGTCCGTCTTACTTTTTCCTGGCATTAAATGACAATTAATTGATGTCGCGTCGATGTGTTCCTCTTTACTCAGACAAAGAAAAACATACGAACAAGCTTTCCTGGGTCTATCTGTTTGTTATCCGCCTTTATAACAAATAAGCAGAAGCTGAATATTGGATTTGTCTTGCATTTGTGTGTATCTTTTTCGGTAATATCGACCCCCCCCCCTTTTCCCCCCATGCCAATCACGCATGACGTCATTCTGATTCAAATGTGGCCTCGCAGAGAATATTATAGAGAAACCAGAAGTGCACACTACGTAAAGTAACTTCAAAATGGAACTTTTGCCTTCTTTGTTAAACTAACACGTGAGA